CGGGTCTCAGCCAGCGACTCATCGGAGGCGGGCCTGAGAGCGGCGACGAGGGAGGCGTGCAGGAGCCTCGGCGGCGGCGGCCTTACTGACCGACTCGGATTCCGACGACTAAAACCGAGTAAGTGAATCCTTGGGGATCCTCTGAGAAATGGACGGAGAGCGAGAGGAAGACAGTGGAGTCGTGGCTGCCGCTTTTTCTCAAAATGGCCTGAGTGGCCTGTCGCAGCTGAGGCTCAGGGCCGCTGCCGAACTCCAGGCGCTGGTTGCTGTGAGGGGCTCCGTGGCGTAGTAGCCGCTGCCATTTTAGTTGGGTGTATAGTCGACAGGCTTTCTGAAGGGGATGGTGCTGGGGAAATACTTCCTTTCCGTGGCCGCGCGACCCGCAGCCGGGACCCTCCAGAGACTTAAGGATTTGGGGGAGGTGATTTTCAAGTGTTGGCCTAAGGCATGAGAATCTTTAATCGTTTCCTGATTTTCTCTCCTCGGTTCTTCGGAGACTTCCTTCGCCTCTTCCCACCCCTTTAACACGGTGGGCTGGGGTTTGGGAGTAGGAGAAAGAATCTGTATGCTCTAAGTCAGATGCTGGGAACTCTTGGGCCTTTAGATTTCCCAGGTTTTGCTAAACCCCATTTTGAGCACTTCTGCAAGGCGCTATCAATTAGGCGCTCCCTGGGGCCCTGATGACATTTCCCTGAGGATCTGAGGCAAATGTGGTTTACTCCCTCGGTCGAATAACCCTGGAGTATTCTTTGCCACATATCACTGTAAGGATATCCCCTCTCCCCCCCAAAAAAGGAGGGAAGAGCAATTGCGTGTTTGTTGTTTTTCCCTTGGAAACGGTAGAAATTGGGCCAGATGATTTTCAAGTTAATTTCCGTTCAATCAGCCACCCCCCCTCCCCCTTCAAAAAAATGCCTAAGGGTCTCGGCTTCTGCGGGCGGTACCTGCCACGTACGCCATAGCTTTAGTAACTAGTATTAACCGGTTGGGCTGCTGCTTCCTGAACACTCAGTCCCTTTTTCCCTTATGCTGATTAATTTCAAGATGGAGGAGACAGCCACGTTCCTTCCCTAGACATTTTCACCATACTTATTCCACAGGTTAGTCCGGGAATCTGAGGCCTAGAAGGCTTCTTATTTAGGTCATTCTTTCGTTTGGGGGGCAAGGAGAAGCATTCATATCAGGTTGTCATCCACCGTTTGCAAAGTCCCACAATAATTTTTTTGCTGGAAATGAGGAGCCCGCATTTCCTGAATGAGAACCGCAATATCTTTGGGTGACTGAAGGGAGGAAGAAATAAACGTACTACTTACTACTAATGATTTCTTTCATTCTTCGTGATTAAAGACAAAATAACTACTCTTATCATCCCATCAGGTACATTATGTCCATCCAGGATTACTTGAGAACAGACAGGCACAATTATAGCCCCCCCCCCATCCGTTTTCTAAATTGTAAAAATACCCAGGAAGACCGATCTAAACATTTTTTAAAATACGATTTTAGGACCCACTTCTCTTACTGAAAAATGTTTCGTCCTGATGATCTTTCATACTTTTTAGTTTCTGCCTTACGTCTAGGCTACTTCTAGGACTACTTTACAGAGATAAGTGTAATGTGCCAAGTAAGTCCTTGAAAGTAACCGTCAAAATGAAAATAATTACTGATCTAATAAAGGAAGACCTATTTTAAGCAAGCTTATATTAAAAGGTAGTTTGGAAATCTTATATCTAACATACGAGATTCCTGGTTGCTTCTGACCTCAGTCTCCCCAAACATCGTAATACTAATATTGAATTAGATTGAGTATTGGTGTGTGTGTGTGTGTGTGTGTTGTGTGTGTGAGAGAGAAAGAGACTAAAATATGTAAGATTTGTATATTTTAAGATGTGTCTATTTCAAAGAAAATATCTTATAAAAGAGGAAGAATAATGGATTCTTTTTTTTTCTAGAGCAGAGAGTGAAGAAAACTAAAATCCAGTTTATTGTATTACAATACTATGTCATAACAGTCAGGTAATTTTTTTGTTGTTCCGTATCCTGATGATGTACATATAGAGTGCATGTTTTAAAATACTCTGTTTTGCAGGCCCTGTAATTGGATGGGCTTATTTGATATATGTTAGTTGGTGTTGGGCATACTTCATAATGAGAGTGGGTATTTTGTACTGGTAATTCAAAGGGGAGTGTTTCTAAGTAGCTAAAACTCATTAGTGCTTTATCTGTGAATTTTCCTGTTTTAAAATAATGTCTGAAGTTTACCAGTACTTCTGTAGAACAGAATGAACGAGATGGGTATAAATAAATACTGTTTTCTATGTTCATTGAATAGCTAAATAAAATATTAAACTTTTTTACAGGAATATAATCTTATTTTGTTGTGTTTTTTCCCCTTCAAGATCCAAAATGTCGTAATTGATATATAATCTAATTGGTATTAACTATTTTTCATCATCATCATCATCATTAAAGTAACCACATAATTTATTGCCCTAGTTAGGATGCTTTTAAGAGCAAAAGGGACATTATTAATAATTATGCACAAACAGGATTTTCCCAGGCAAACTGGGATGGGTAGTTAGCCTAAATTCATAACTAACTTGTATTGAATGCTTATGTGCTAGGTCCTGTGCTTTGCATGCATGCATGATTTTATAATCACCACAGCAAAGCTTCGTGAGGATTTAACTATTTTACAGAGGTAACTGGATTCTGGGAAGAGGTTATTAAGTAATTTGTTCTCAATTAAATATCTAATGAGTGGTTGAGTCCTCATTTTAACCCAGGTCTGTCTAATGCCTGAAGTCACTAAACTTTTATGCTTCTAGACTTAATTACTCTCTATTTAGATCAGAAATGCAAAGAAAATGAAGGATGTAATAAAAAATCTATAGGTTATGTTGCATCAAAAACATATTAACACTTAAAAAGAACCTGCTGTATGAAGCAGGTGAGACTTATTTAGCAATTACCCCCTCCTTTTTTCCCCGTTTCAGCTGTTACTATATAATTTGATAAAAATTTAACACCAGCAATGGTTTTATGAAATAACATCTAGAAATATTAGACTGGTTGGGCATATTCTTTCAGGTTAGTGACTATGTAGTGAAGCCTTAAGTAACACAGTAGGCCAAATGTTGCATTTGCATTCATGGAATTATAATGTGTATATTACTTTATCCATAGTCCTAGAGGATTAAGAAACAGAGCAAATCACTGACCAGCCTCTTGTTGCCTTGATTCACAATGTGAAACCAATTACAATGTGAAAAGTCCTGTCAAACCCAGACCAATGGTGCTAGAATTTTGGTCCACTGTCTTGGGCTGGGATATGTTTTTCTTTTGTTTGTCTAATTTCTTAACATTTCTGTGTAACACTAAAGATTTCAAAAAGTAGCCAGTTTACATAATTCCCTTGAAGTTTTGATAACCAGTGTAAGAAAGCAATAGTACTTCAAGCTGTTCATATTTCCTTTTATCAAAAGAAATATCTTAGATAAAAAAATATTGGCAATTTTGAAGAATTTGGGTATATATTTATGAACTTGTGGTTTTGTTTCTGAAATACATATAGTTGATATTTTGTTGTCGATTTTCTTGTATTTTAGTGCTCCAACCCAAGATTTCAATTTCATTAGTCATAGTAGCACCTATATATGTTGAGACAAATAGCTGTAGACAGTGTGTGATGTGTATATAGATTTGTGGATCTCTTGCAATAACTTCATGACTACAGGTTGGGCTTCTGTTATAACGTTTGCACAGTGATGAACTTTCTGTAGGGGAAAGGGGATATTGTGTTCAGTGTTTGTAATCTTTTCTGTAATGAAAAGTGGTCTTTCCTCTTGCTCTCCAGTTGCTTATAGGAAGAAAGGCGTTAACTCTTAACTACAATTTTCATTTTTTTATTCACCCAAGTTACCGTTCGTGTCAGTTACATCTAAAGTAGCCATATAATTTATCCAAACTGGGTCACTTTTGAGAGTGAAAGAGGACCGGGACCCTATTAAGTACTACAGGACAACAGGTGTAGACTGCTACTTTACAAAGTGGGGATATATATTCACTTTTGTCATCATTTCTATTTAGAAACACTGGTTCAGGAAGCACAGTCGTCAGCATATTTGGTTCTGTAACATGAAATTGATTTCCTCAAATAATGTTACAGTCGTTTGTGTAGATAATTCTTTTTTGGTCAGGTGATTTTAATGTGTTTTTTTAATCCTTATCCGAAGATATATTTTTATTGATTTTTAGAGAGAGATACATCGGTTGGTTGCCTCCCATAAGTGCCAACCCGCAAGCCCTGACCCGTAATCGGGTTAACCTTTTGATGTACTGGTCAAGGCTCCCCAACCAATGGAGCCACCTGGGCAGGGCTGGTCAAGTGATTTTAATTTTAAAAATTGGTTTCACTCTTTCTTAAAAAGCTAAATTTTGATGGAAAACTCATGTCCTCAAAAATAGTACTTTACCAGTTATCAAAATTTCTAGTAATCAGTGATTTTACATTAATAACTTTTTATAAATACATGAACCTTCTGGGTTTTGAGTCATTTTTTTTACTTCTTGGGAATGATGAGAAACAAGTCAGAATGGAGTTGTGTGGTTAACACCAAATTCTAATTTAGTGATGTAGGTCAATGAAATGGGTAATCCAAGATTAAATTCTCCATCTAAAGTACTTGAGTGAATTGAAATGTCATCATAATGACTTCCTTTGAAAACTAACATGATCCTATGAATTGGCAACATTTGTCTTGGTCTCTGTCCTTTGAATTGTTGACTTTTGATCTTACTGTTTTAGAGGGTTGGAGTAGTCGAAATTGTGAGCTGCAAGTCAGTAGCCTTCTTGCAAAGAGATTAGACACATGAAGGACATTTCTGAATCCTTTTGTGTGTTTTTGTTATTGTCCTTTTAAAGTGGTAGAAATAGAATATAAGTGAGGCTAAGCTAACATTACCATACAAATAATATTTTATAATCTCGTATTGTTATAGTATCAGCAGTGGTGGAGCCCTTGGTAGCACCCTCTGATAGGCCAGTACTGGAAATAGTCAACAAATTGTGTGGGTGGTGAGAAGTATCATGCAATAAATAAAGGCAGTGAAACATCA